ACTGAACTGTGATTTGGAATATGAGGCCATCATGAAAGTCCCTCATGGTGTACAAGCAGAACCAGAAATGGTTTTTGAGCTACGACGCAGTCTTCATGGGTTGTAGCAAGCTGTGGATGTTTGTTAAAAGACTATTCGTGCCATCTTTGCGGCGTTGAATTAAATTTGAAGTCGTGCGGGCCCCTGTGTGTTTTTGTGTCGTTCTGGTCAATGTGCAGAAGGATGCTGTGTTAACATCAAACTGTAGATGATCTTTATGTCGGGTGCGAGCATGACGAAGTAGCTGAAAAAATCGTTCGCGAGTTAAGCGCCCATTTTTGCTGTAGTCGCTTGGTGCCGCGCGCTTTGTGTTATGGATGGAGATTAATTACAGTATTGACCAGGTACAACTTCATTTTGGAAAGAGCAGTTCATTTTCAAGATGGTGACCGAGTTTAATTTTGTTGAAGCTCATGCTGTGCAAATTCTATTAATGCTTGGTCCAGACCTCGCGTAAGATAAATCGCATGATATCCTTGACGATGATACATCGTATCGTGAGGCTTGTAAGATCTATCTTGTATGTTGCTAACGCAACTCGCCCAAACATCAGTTATTCGTTATCAATACTGTCGCAGTACGTCGACATCCCTCGTGCAGTGCATTGGTGGACATAAAATAGAGTGTCGTGTTATCTAACATGCACTTAAGACCATGGAATCAAGTACTCCAGATTCACGAGCTATGGAGCAGCTTTGAATGCGTATGCGACGCAAATTGGGGGTGGTGGCAAGCATACTCGTCCATCAACTTCTGGTGTATTGACTTTCTCTAGCGGTGATCCAGTGATATACTGAAGCAAGCGTCAGTCCTCGGTGGCACTATCATCGGCAGATGCTGAATACATGGCACTAGCCTTGCCCACGTATGATTTGCTTGGCTTCGGTATATGCTTCAATAGCTTGGACTCCAATCATATTGTGCAACAAAAATCATGATGGATAACAAGTTGGTAATTAGCATGGTGACGAACTTGGGTTACACACCTCATGCAAAACACACTGATCTGCGGGCTCATTTTGTGCATGATCATGTGGAGAGTGGAAACACAAGTCTTTCATACTTACCATCTGAAGACCAATCAGCGAACTTCTTGACCAAGGCTACTCCGACACCGCACTTTACGCAACTACGCGAGCTCAGCAACATTTTTCCGTACACCAATTTTTGAGGGAGTGTAACAAGATGGTGTTGCGTACAACATTATCATATATCTATTAGGCATATGCGCGCTGACTAAATGCGAACTCAACTGGCAGACGACAATGGTAGCACGAATGGTTGGTACACCAAGGTTGCAGTTGTGTGAGCTTCTAAATACTGACATCCAGAAGCTAGTATACATAAACATGTTTGCAGTACTACAACAAGAAGGTGGGACCGACAAAGAAAGCTAAACGATAACTCACTTTTCATTTTGTGCTGCAGAAGACAAGCGGGTATCTAAGTGCTACATCTCTAGCATCTGCACTGTGCCTAAAATATCTACAATGCTCAGTAAATGATGCACCTGTCGCAGAAGTGGCCACTTGCTGCCAAACCGCCCATCCACTTCAGCCACATTTTACCTTTCCGCCGACGACCACGACCACGTTATGAAGCTCTTGAGCAGTCGACCGCCATGAAGAGCCGCAACCGATCTCCATGACTGTCGCCATATAAAACGACACGGACAGCTCCCTATCGCCGGTCTAACGACCTTTTCTTTGATCACGACGGCGCCGACGCCGTCTGGAACCTGGCCAACTTCTCGCTGCGGGAATTCAGCACTCTTTATTCCACAATTGTTGACCACGTGACGCACCATCGGAACGACCTTCCAAGTCAAACAGATGCTGTAACGGGGCACGATTTGTTTGGGGTGCCACGAAACTTCACGTACACTAGTACGTGCAGAGGAAGCTAGTCTACTTGAACTACTCGTTTAAGTAAAAGGTAAAAAGAAAACTGTATTTAATATGGTTGAGCTATCAATATAACTCCAGTCTTTATCTAACTACATTAATCTACATTGTCGTATGACGACAACCTGCTCACCACTCATTAAGCGCGTCTAGCAGCGATTGGTGGTATCTATGGTTGATGTGTCTTTTATCAACCAATCTTTGAGCAGCGCATGAATATTATCCTACTAAGGGGATAATATTCCTTCAGTTCTATCCATCTCGGATAATACTGGCGGGGAATTGTCACGCTAGACAATCTTCCCATTGACACCATTTGGTGTCAATTTCATGTAACGGGCTACCCCGTTACAAATGCGACTTCTTTTAGTAATTGGATTAACTACCACCATGCTCGCCTTCACTTGAGTTTGAAAAATTCTTCTCCACTTTACGCAGTGATTTAGATTTGCAGACGTATTCTTTCAAGTTGCAAAGCAGTTTTGAACCTTATTAGTAAATCAAAATTCTCACCTCTTTTAAATTGACTGTGTCACTTCCAAAGCAACAAAGCTGCTGCCTTTCGGATCACTTCCCTGGCCTTTAACGCGATTCGTTACATATGCTTATCGTCAGTACTTCCAAAGGTACACACTTGGCGCATCTTGAGTCGTCTTGCATTTGCAATGCTACTCAAAACAGTCCAATAATCATCCGCAGTGCTGACGACACATCGTCAGCTTGAATTGACGTCGTTCTGTTTAGAATTTATCCTTCGTCCGATTGTAGGCCGACAACGAGGTCTGTTTTGCAAGCTGAGACCCGTCCAATGTCCAATGAGCGAACGAAGTGTTGTGGTACCTACAACCTATCAAATAGCAGGTCACAATCTTCAGAAACAAGCGTTCATGCCGTAGAAAACACTACGTCCTGCTGTTCAAAGTCACATTTGCTGCAAAACAAAAAGGTGGTGCTCGATGACAATTTGCGCTAGTGCGATTGCTCAAGTGAAGTAGTGCGCGGAAGTGCACATGAGCGATGTGTCGACCAGTAATGCCGGTGGGCGTTTCGATTCCGGTGACGATGTGCTGTTCACTTTGCATAATGCAAGAGAGGGTCAGTGCATTTGTGAGTCAAGCATCGCAAAAGCGAAGCGTAACACAAAGCTACAAAAGCCATAGCTCTTTTCGTCCGAGTGATGATGAGCCCACAGTTTTTTATCTTACGCAGACACAACTTTCACCGAGAAACACACGGTAAACAATCGGTGACGGTCGACATGATCTCGAAAACTACATCCACTCGAATGTTGTGGTCATACAAGAAGATGTTGCAGACTACATTGCTACATCTCAGCATGCAATACATGCGCTTGAGTTGCGTTTGTTAGCAGGTGCCACTATAAGACGTCTGATATTAATGTAAGCGAGTGAGTCGTCTGTCAGCCATAATCTTGGAGCACCAAGCGAGATGAGCAAGACCTGTACTAACTAATACTAAACGACATGCGTATGATATCGACTCTCCCGACGGCGACCACCACACTCCGTTTTGTCATCATCCTGCTAGAAAGGGCCGACCACGAGCATGTACAATGGCACGCCTCGGGACCATGGGGAAAAGGTGCGGCCTCTGTCTCCTCCTCCTCCTTTTCTCGTTGCTCTTTCTGACGTCCTCTTCTTTCTTGTGATTGATAGAAACGACAGCGGCTGACCAATGAATTGTGGATGGAAGCTATCATGAATAAGGGTAAGACACCCGAGGGCTTTACCTCCACGTCAACCCTCACGCCACGAGCAGTACCGACCACTGTCGCATCCCCAGCTGTGGAAAGAGAAGGAGTACTGAATGTGACGCCCACTTGGGGTGTACCGACGCCCCAGACGTCGATGGCTCAGCAGCAGTACGTGAAGGGGTATCAGGAGAGACCAACTGAGCGCCTCCAAAACCGCTTCCAGGGGCGAAAAACGGAGAGCTTTTCACAACAAGTGCGTGGAATGCCAACGGAGATAGTTTCACCTCATCAGAAGAGGATGGTGAATGTTTCAGGAGCTCCGGGATATGCAGTAAGAGCTGATGCAGTAGCGGGATATCACGGAAGACCCGCAGACACTTCCAGTCCATTCCCGCATCAGAACGTAAAACTATTGACAATGGATTATCAATCAAGAACAGAGGACGGTGCTACAGTTGACCAAAGGCGCCCGGTAGATGAAGCTGTAGCGGATCACTATAGACTCAGAGACGGAGCCGCGTCCGAATGTCAAGGAAAACCCACGAATGAACCCGCACGTCATCAAGAGAGGACATCAGGCATAGCTTATGAACCCGGGAAATTCGGTCAAGACCCTACAAGTTACCAAAGTGGGCTGCATCAGGGAAGGGTGACAGGAGGAAAGCTCGGTAAAATGGCTGAGGATTACAAGAAAGACCGGAAATTACCCCCGAGGGTGGAGGAGATGCTGAGAGAGCAGGTGAATCTGGACGAGTCTGCGCTACACGATGCATTTGCGGTAGCAATGGAGGATTTAATTCTGGAGCATGAAGCTAACTTCGTGGCAAAGGGAGTGTGCCACTTATGTGTGAGTAAGGTCTACCTGCCCGTCGTGAATTTCTGCCCATATGCAGACGAGAACCACTCGCTGTGTCGAGAACATCTTCGCAGCGTTTACAGGGTGCGTATGGAAGCGTTGTTCGTGGGCAGGAACGGGTCTGCACCCAATCGCCGCTTGCTGCGCTGTTTGGCGTGTACGCGTGGATGTCCATGTAACTTGTGCAGAGCAGAGAAGGAGAAAGATATCCGGAATTACAAGCGGTATCTTCTCGACACGCTGCGTCGATGTGGACACAGTTCGGAGAGCGCAGTGAGGGACGATCGAGCTACTGCTGCAATTGCTCCACCAGCACCTGAGCGGCGGTCAACGTTTGGTGTTGCTCAAAGTTTGGGCAAGACCGACGGCCACCGATACACGCAGTATGTGCCCGCACCCCCTGCTAAAAAGTTGTTCCTCTGTTCAAGACGATAGTTTCCCCACTCGGGGTTCGCTGACAGAAGCTGCGGATGAAGCACGTAGTCCAATGGAGATCCAGCAGTCCGAGTCTAATCGGTGCCAAGTACGTGGTCAATACGGTCGTGACGGTTGCGTGTCCAATGCAGAAGTCTCTAGTATGCCTGCTTCCAGCACACATGCCTCTAGCTTGCAGATTTCCAGTATGCGAACCACTGGTCTGCCAGCTTCTGGCAAGCCAAAATCGAGCGTGCAGGTTTCCGGCATTCATGCACCACAACTCCATTCGACTCAGCACTTTTTTATTTCGACAAGTGATGCTAGCAGTATGCGTCCCGGTAATGTCTCCGTAACGGCAGACGGTGACCAAGGTACAGGTCATCGGGCTGCAGCCCGAGCCGCCCCATCGCGTATTCACCAACGCTCGATGAAATCGCCAACAGCTGCTACTGTTCTGAATTGCTCGGAGTCGGAGAAGTCTCTAGTTCAGCTGTTAAGCTCGTTGAATCAAGGAAGAGCCCCCGTAAACTCTGTGGCTGCTGATGTCCAAAGTGTGGATAGTAGTTACCGTCAGAATGTTTCAGGCTCGAACGGAAAAGTAGCCGAGAGTGGATGTAGTGGAGGTCCTGGCAACACCAAGACAGAAGCGTCGTTCCAAGTTGATTCTGGTCGTGGCATACTGGACAATGACTACCAACCAGAACGTCCATCCCGCGATCAAGCATTTGTTTGCTCAACGGCCGCGGTTGACAGCTCGCCTCGTGATCGCTCGAACGTTGATGATCGGTCTATTGAAGTGAGTAAACTACGAAAGCGAAAATCTGGTGAGAACGACGCTGAGAATGGGCTAACGGCACGTGGTCTACCTAACATGGCGTCTCGAGACGCCTTCAGGGCAGTGTATCGTGATGATAGCGCTGCGAGTCAACAACATGTTGCTGGTCAGCGTCAACAACAGACAGGGACGAGGCCATCCTTGAAGCCGGGCGACTGCGATAAGGATACCGCTTCCAAGATTGAGTTGAAAAAGAACCATTCGTCACAGAGACTACCACCGGCCCATCGTAGACCAGGGCGTCCGCGCAAAGCACCTTCTGATGAGACTGCTGCAACGGTGCTAACTCCACAAACGGAGAGAAAAGGGCATCAAGATCGTAGAAGTACCACCCCTAGTAAAAGGGGAAGAGGTCGGCCCCCCAAACGCGGCAAGCGAGCAAAAGGTAATGGCGAAGAGACAACAGGCGACAACTATAACGAAGAGCAGGAAGGGGGGATGGCAAAGATGAGGATGGCGCGGAAAGCGAACTAGACGCAAATCTGGACTATTGTGAGGTTTGTGAAGGTCCTGGCGACTTAGTTTGTTGTGATAAGTGCCCGCGTTCTTTCCACCTGAAGTGCCTGCACATGACGGAGAATGATCTCCCTGAAGGTGATTGGCAATGCAGTGAGTGCAAGAGACCGTCGCGCTTCGACGCATATTCTGTGACGGTGGCTTCCGAAAAAACTATGCAGGACAAGTGTCTGAAGATTGTTCAGTGCTTGAAGTCGCATCCGTTCTCAAAGCAGTTCCTCTCCCCTGTGGAAAACATCCCGATGTATACGCGCGTGGTGAAGCAACCGATGGACTTGTCTACAATTGAGAACAAGCTGAAGAAGGGTGCGTACGTTTTGGATAGCAACACTCTAGCGAATGGCGTCAAAGAGTTGGATGCGACGCATTTTGCCAACGATGTTCGACTGATGTGGTCAAACTGCAAGATTTTCAATGACGATGGATCAGGCATCACGCGGGCAGCCGATATTTTGTCAGTTGGCTTTGAACGTCTGTACAAGGAATCCACCGCACCACCACTGACAGCACAAGATGGATGTTGATTGAAAGCTCGATGAAGTTGGTGAGCCACTTTAACGTGACCATTGCACGAAAGAGTTTGTATGTCATTTATGAAATTGGTATCGAAGTAAAACGCTGATGAAGCCGGAGGTGCTAAAGCGCGAGCATGCGATCAGCTATTGTTGCTTGGTAACATTATGCTTGTACTGTGGACTGGAAACGCCGAGATGATTCCTGCTGACGATCCGACACCCACGAAAGAAGAGAAGCTTGTTTGGAACTGACAAGCCAACATGTATCGCTTTAAAGAGCATCAATATGACCGCAGCTTGTTTTGCGTTGAGGCCACCGACGACAGAACGCATGTTTTGAGCATCAAAGTCAAGCCACCCGACGAATCGTTCGTCAGCGTAAAATCCTCGCGGCTGGAACGAGTTCGTGGCGGTGCTTCAGGTCAGTGTAAGACACTGGACAGCCCTGCAGTGAAGAAAAGCAGCTCCTTACGATTTGCGAACTATTTTTTGCTAAAAAATGACGTAAGCGATTTCATCCCCGAGCGATCCACGTTATCCAGCTTGCTCTTCTTCTTGATACTGGCAGCACCAATAGATGTCGGGCGCTTCACTGCATTTTCTGGCATTCGACGTCGGTCGAAGCGCTGGAATGACTCCATCGGTCCGGCTGCAGCCTTGGCAACATTCTTGACCTCCTCTTCCCTCTCGACCCTATCAGCACCAATACATCTTAGTACACCAAGACAAGCTCGTCATCCACCACCCCACCGACGTACCTGAACTCGCTGCAAAGCACGTCGGTCCATTCGTTCGCGAGGTAGTTACCTACCACGTCAATCGCATGTCGATAGTGTCGAGCAACATCTGCCTTCTCGTCCTGTACCTTTTCCGCCTGGATCTTCTTGTCCACACAACTGTGTCCAATTACATTCACCTGGTCGGTAAACGCTGCCGCAGTCGAAGCCTTCGCGGCTGCATCTTGCTCCTGTTTCAACAGCACGCTGGCCACTCTCTCCACCTTCGTCCGCAGCCACGACGTCACCTTGTTCTCATTGACCTTCACACAGAGGTTGTCCACTTCCTCATCTCCTGCCATCTCCTGGACGTCACAAATGCACTCAATCACTTGCCGCAACGTCAAAAGTTGCAGCAACCACGTGTTGCCTGCTGTCGCTAGTAGGTCATAAACGGACGAAAACCTTGCGCGCTGAGGCCACGCAGCATCCAGCAGCACGAAAAGTGCATCCACAGGTGAGAAGACCATCACTCCGCCATCCTGAAGCACGGCGTTGCCCACAAACCAGCTGCGCGCGCCATCCACGGGTTGCAAGCGCTGGAGCTCCAACAGCTTTTGCTTGTCCTTGTCCAGAGCCAATTGCCGTGTGCGGGTCATCGAACCGGTCGAGCGAGACGTCCAAAGCACGACGGACAGGAGTGGGGCATCGGTTGCGTCTGGATGGAAGCGCCCGAAGTCAGTACTTGACGGCAGTCCCGACGGCACGAGTGCGAGGAGCTTGCGGGTCATTTGAAACGCGTGATCCCGCGACGCACCTTTGACGGTCGTTGGAGCGATATTATACTACAGAGGTGATGGATATGTAGAGGTGTGCCAACCTTGTATCAAGTTAAAGATTCCATGTAGTGATAGAGGTCGATTCATCATGTCGATGAATCCTAGCTCGACTGGTTTGCGAGCCAACGCGATTTGTGAAAAGCGGGGAATCGAATGGGAAAGAAAGCAGCCGCAGCAGCCGCAAGTTCGAACATCCAGCGTTCCATCACGTCATTTTTGGTGGAACGACAGCGTCCACTTCGAAAGGAACGAAGCGCCAAGCCGCAGCTGAGAAAGAAGTCGAGGAAGTCGCGGAACCGTTGGCCAAGTCGGTGAAAAAGCGAAAAACTGATTGTACTGGCGAAAAAGATGCGAAAACTGGTAGAAGCGACGAAAAAGTAGGTATAAGCGACGAAAAAGATGGATTTAACGATGTAAAAGCGAGCGAGGCCACAGACGAAGTTGAAGATAACAAACCGGCTAGCAAAAGCACGACGAAACGTACGTGGCTTTCTATCGTGTGTAGAGCAAACTGACTGTGTGCAGTATAAGCGTGAGGAAGGTGACGTACTTCTTTCTGATGCTGTTGTACAGCTGGTCGTCGTCGTCTGCGACAACGCGACGTGAAGGATGAGGAAGAAGAGAGTGACGTGGACATGCCACTGGGCGTAATGGACTCGAGGCGGGAGGCAGACGAGGTGATTGACATGACAAAGTCACCGGTGGCGCTGGAAAAAGTCGAAACCTGTGACGAGAAAACGGTGGAAACGCTGGCAAATGTCGAGAAGAAGGGGAAGAGGACCGTAAAGAAGGAAACGGAGATTAAGAAGAATGAAGTAGTGACGTTGTCCAGTCTGGAGAATAAAGACGTGCACAAGGCGGTGGGCGGTGACGTGCACGAAATTGGATTTGTGGCAGACGCTGGAAACGATGAGGGCAAGAAAGACACTGCAGCGTCATCGAAGACTGCTGCCCTTATAGCTATTAAAAGCGAAACGAGCGAGATTCAAGTAGACTCAAGTGCTGACTTAAAGCCGTTGGCGAATGCGAGTGGAGAAAGTAAAGAAACGAAAGCAGAGAGCGACGGACGCCGTGAGACTCCGTACTTTGCTCTCGCGCATCTGTTTGCCAAAATCGAAGAAGTTTCTGGCCGCCTTGTTATCCAGGATCTCCTGACAGCGTTCTTCCGCGATGTCATTTGCCGCGCTCCAGATGATTTGTTGGCGTGCATCTATCTGTGCGTATGTGTGGACCTGGCCCCGCCCTTCGAAAACCTGAAAATTGGTATCGGCGACGCTATTCTGATGAAAGCTATCGGCGAGGCCACGGGCGCAAATGCCAAATTTATCAAAGAGATGTACCACAAGGAAGGCGATCTGGGCAAGGTAGCACAGAATGCGCGCTCGAAGCAAAAGACGCTGTCGTTTGCGTCTCTCACACCGGCTACATCTAAATGTAGCGACCTCACCGTATGTTATGTGTACAACCAGTTCGTGAAGATTGCGAAGATGACTGGCAATAATTCTCAACAGCAAAAGTGCTCGATTATCAAGGGATTACTGGTAAAGTGTGAGAAGGAAAAAAAGTCGCAAGGCAAGGACAGACAGTCTGCTGAAGGGGCCAAGTACATCATCCGTGGACTCCAGGGTAAGCTGCGTATCGGACTGGCAGAAAAATCGATCCTGATGGGGTTGACGTACGCGTTCATGACGGACAAGGATTACAAGGACAAAGACAAGCAGCAAGAGGCTCTGGCTTTCGTTAAGAAGGCCTTTGCAGAATGTCCAAGCTACAACGCGTTGGTTGCAGCGTTTTATGGTGTTCAAAAAGTGGTCCCTTCCGCCCCTTTCCTTCGCGCGAAAGACTTTGCACTGGTTGCCGAAAAGTGTGTACTGACACCAGGCACACCAGTGTCTCCCATGCTTGCTCGTCCAACTAAGGCGTACGCTATGGTGTTCGATCGCTTTGAAGGTAAGCCGTTTACGTGTGAATACAAGTATGATGGTGAGCGCGCGCAGATACACATCCTTTCGAACGGAAAAATGGCGATATTCTCGCGCAACTTTGAGAACTCTACCGAGCGATTTCCTGACGTCGATTTAGCCGTCTCAAAAGCTGCTAAAAAAGGTGTCGTCGAGAGCTGTATCGTTGATGCAGAGGTGGTTGCCATTGACCGTGCTACAAATAAGCGCCTGCCTTTCCAGATTCTGAGCACGCGTTCTCGTAAGGTATGTCACTATGTCTAATCGCTGAGTGTCATCAAGCATGTCTTTGACATTTCTTGCATGTTGTGAATGCAGAACGTGAAAATCGAAGATATAAAAGTTCCTGTGTGTATCTATGCGTTTGACTTGCTGTTTCTCAACGGAGAGTCACTCCTCAGCACCCCGCTGGCAAATCGCCGTGGTAAACTGCGCGAATTGTTTGAAGTGAATCCTGGCACGTTCGAATTCGCCACGTCGTTCGACGTTGTGGATGGTGTTGATGTAAAAGATAACCCCGAGGCGATGGAAGAAGCTGTGGACAAGGTCCGAAATTTTTTGGCGGAGGCTGTGCGCGAAAACTGCGAAGGCCTGATGGTGAAGACTCTCAAGAAAGAAGCAACATACGAGCCTGCCAATCGTTCTCATAAGTGGTTAAAGCTGAAGAAAGATTATCTTGATGGCATCGGTGACTCAGTTGATCTGGTTCCGATTGGTGCGTTTCATGGACGTGGCAAGCGCACTGGTGTGTACGGAGCATATTTGCTGGCATGTTATGATCCGGATACAGACATGTACCAGCCCATTACAAAGCTGGGGACGGGTCTGTCCGATGAAGTGCTTAAGAAGTTTTACGATCAATTGAAGGAGAGGGTCGTGGACAAACCTCCTAGTGACTATGCTGTTACCGACAGCTGTAAGCCTGACGTTTGGTTTGAAGCGAGCTGTGTGTGGGAAATTCTGGGTGCTGATCTATCCATTTCACCGAAGTACACAGCAGCGATCGGTCTAGTTGCCAAGGACAAGGGCATATCACTGCGCTTTCCTCGCTTCATCCGTATTCGTGATGACAAGGAGACGACTCAGGCGACTAACTCTTCACAGGTAAAGCTCAGTTTTTCCACCATGGCTAACATACACAACCGCGATCGACTGATTGCTCATTTTGCTTGGTGTGATTACAGATCGCCGATTTGTACCGAGCTCAAGGTCTTACGACCGTAACTGGTGAGGAGGAGGGTGAGGACGATGATATGCTTATCTAGGTGTGTCTTGAATTCGTCATCGCTAATGTTAGCTTCAGAACGTAATTGCGCTGTCACACCTGGTACGGTAAAGATGCCAAACTGCTCTGTTGATGTGGTTGTTTCACGTGTAACTTTTCGTCAGATCATTACTGATGTACTTTCAGTCGCCTTGGACATCAGGGTGAGTTAAGCAGCACGTGCTGTAAATATCGATGGAAAGGATGGTTGGATCGTTGGGTGAGATAGACCGCCCTCTCCACCGCGCAGGCCAAAGAGCGGGCGGATATGACCCGGCTGTGGTTTCCGGTAGACCTGAGCTAGGCACTTCGCTGTTGACCGGGGCACTCATACCGCCTTTCGAATGAGATTCGACCTGGGTGCCTAGTGTTTGCAGAATATTGTATGCAGCACACGAAAGTCGCCAGCATTCGTAGCGTCACAGTTGCAGAAGTGCGTGTAGCACTCTCGCCCTGAGACAGAGGCGTGCGCATCGGTCTGTTGAGGGTCAGATGCATCAAGTCCGACCCTACCAGGTGAACAGCAATGAGTGTTAAGCTCTGTAGTGTATGACCTCTTCAGCAGCTGCCAGCTCAACGTGCAATCACGACATGCAGATGACGTGCTTAGTGGTGATACTGTCTGCAAAGGTGAAGGCGGCAGATAACTCATGTCAAGCGAAGGTAGACTCGGACAGTGTCGAATCAAGCGACTGACCTCTTCCAATCTTTGCAACGGTATCTGACGTTATCTGAGGTGCTGCTCCCGATTACACCTCAGCTGCTTGCAAAGCGAGGTCAAAGTCGAGGTAATAAAGTAGTAGTGACGTTGAAGCAAAACTTGATCAAAGCGAGTATGCACCTGATTGCTATAGTGGAGGAGGAGGACACAGCGATTACATAAAGCTCCACGAAAGCGTCGACCATTGAGTGTGAACAAATGAACCAGTAGTGCAGTAACGACTTGTCAAACTCATGCTGGTGCAGCTGGAGAGAAGCAAGCATAGGAAACACTGCTGCGCGGCATTTGCTAGTACAGTTATTGCAGCTGGAGACAGTCATCGATTGCTGGGCCTACTGCGAAGAAAACCGACAAATTGCTTTGGGCTCTCTCCGTGCTTAGAGACAGCAGGTAAAACGACAGGCAGCCAGAAAGTCAAGAGCCCATTGAAAGTGAATGCGGCGCAATGTTGGCGCTCAAGTTGTACCAAGGAAGTGAAGCGATGGTAACAGTGGCAGGTTTTAGCTGAGAACGGGGGCGACGACTACATTTACAACAAGAGGATTGTTCTGAGAGATCTTGAAGCGTCATCCATCAGCGTTGCGAATGGTGATACGAAGAGAGCTACCCGCAGTAGACGACAAAGTTTGTGGACGAACAGCAGACGGTAGGTGGAAGCGTATCGTTTTCGAAAATATACCGACAGAAGTGCTGCTTATCGCTGGTCCCAGTATCAAAGGCAAACAGCTCGAGATGGTCTCCTTAAAGCCGACGATGATAGCAGCGGTTACTGGAGAGAGCGAATCAAAAGGATGAGACGGGTATGAAAAAGTGTGGCTTGCGCTGAACTTGAGCAGAATCTCAGGGGAAAGTGTCCAGTGCAGTAATGAGAAAGCTAGGCCACATGACGTTCAGCGAAGTCAAGACGACAAAGTCGATAGCATCGGTCCAAGGAATTGATGCGAGCTTAAGCCCGGGCCGAAGAGAACGCGATGACATGGACGACACTGCAGTCCTGGAAGCACTGAAGCGACACGATGTGCAATGTGAGCAAAAAGTCGTGCATCAAGCAGACAATCTACGAAACGTTACAGAATTGCACCATCAGCAACGGCAACACGCGTGCCGCTGGAGCGTCTAAATGTCAGTAAAATAATGGCGGACACTTTGGTACGTAGAACGTTAATGATAGGAAATTATGAAACACGCAGGACACATTTTTTTTGATCGTGTATTTGGTTCATTTGTTTCTCGGGAAACGAGGGCTCAGAAGTCTGATCGGTTCACTGATTTTCTCGCTCCTTTGAATTCGAGGCTCGACGATCGCCATTAGGCAAAAATGCTGCTGGGAATAGGGCGCTTTGTGTTCCTGTCGCTGACGGACGTGGCGACGCTGCCGGCGCTGGTCGTAATGAAGCGCAATCGTCGACATTTTGAGATGTTCGTGGGCGTCTCACAGCTCTTGATCTCCTTTTTCTTCAATACTGCGGAGGCGTTTGACACGCAGCTGTTCCTCGGAGAAGACGATTGGCATTTTCTATCGGACGTTGTGTCCGTCACCTATTTTCTGCTGCTCTGCGTACACCTGATGGGGTACAAGGATGAGAACCGGAACATCGTTCTGCGCTACGTGGCATTTGCTGGCTCGTTGCTCTTCAATACCAAGGACCGATGGGACTCGACGTTCTACGAAGAGATGCTCGTGGTCTGCTACCTGCTGGGAGTTGTCTACCGTCGAGTGTTTACCGTGAGCAATGACATTTCCCCCCTGAACAGGAAACATGTTGTTTACGCGTTGTGTAGCCTTGCGGCAGCAGCGGTTGCAGCGATTGGTTCTCTCGACCTTGAAGACAAAGAGAGTCACGTGGCGTTGGGGGTCACCAAGGGCCTAATGCACGTGCTGGATTGTAAGAAGTAAGAATTAAGTAAAGTAAATGACTTGTATATTACCGCGCACCAGACGCGTTTCGGCCCCCCGCCGGGGGCCTCATCAGTGGTTTGTCAATCTACAAGTGAGAACTATCCATACGTCTAGCTGCTGTACGACCTATAATAATGCATAGAACCCTAAAGAACATTCTAGACATACCCTATCATGGGTCGAATCTCTGGAGTCGAATCCAGTGCATCATGCACTTACAACACTCCCCCTCGACGACATGAGATGCAGACCACTTTGGTATCGACCCGCCTGTAATCCTCACTGCTGCATCCGTGCACCATGGAAATCTTGATTGAGTCTTGCCCCTGCGCTCCAGCCAACCTCGATGATACCGAGCGTTCCAGGTATTCCAGCTCCCCCATCGTCCAGCACCATGTCACATCTTGACATCTCGTAGTCGTCGTTCGCCTTGCATGTAGTTTCCACTTCTTCTTGACCACAAATACACTTGTCACCACTTGACTTGACTCTTCCTTCGATAGCACTCGCGCATTCAGACCATCTCGCGTCACCACCCTTGCACAAACCCTTTTCGACTGCACGCGCACCGTCAACGATCCCTGTCGATGAATTCTTCGGCGCCTTACTCGTGCATCGAGCGCCTTCTCTGACGGGGTGTCCCTCGCACAAGTTGGTCCTTGGTGAGGTGTCTGCAGCGAGCATTTGGGCTCATAACCTGTAAGAAGTAAGAATTAAGTAAAGTAAATGACTTGTATATTACCGCGCACCAGACGCGTTTCGGCCCCCCGCCGGGGGCCTCATCAGTGGTTTGTCAATCTACAAGTGAGAACTATCCATACGTCTAGCTGCTGTACGACCTATAATAATGCATAGAACCCTAAAGAACATTCTAGACATACCCTATCATGGGTCGAATCTCTGGAGTCGAATCCAGTGCATCATGCACTTACAACATGGATGGTGCTGCGTTCTACTACGCTTGGCTCTCTGTGCCTTGTGTCAGCTCAAAGAACGATGAGGTCATCCCAACGAACAGCTTGTATGTGTAGTAAGCGAGTGCGTGCGCAGGTCCTTAGTATGCACTCAAAATCTTGGTGGCATAACGCACGTATGGGACTGTTTGCTCCAGTAAATGATCTTAGGCTCATCTCACTTCTGCTATCAAAGCTAAAATAGCGGCGCGTGCTTTAACAGTGGCTGTAACGAGACGGGTTCATTCCATAACTGATATTGGGGCTCTGACGAAGGTTCTGACCCGGGGTCATTGGTCTGGGTCAGACCCCGACCTGCGACCCGGACCAGCCGCATCAGGGCGGGCCCAATGGGCCCCCTGGTCCGTTTCGAATGTGTGTGCAGTCATTCCTCGAATAACTTGTATCCTCATATCTCATAGAACTCATACAATTGCGCTCCACCATGCTCGTTTTATGGCCGCTAACTCATAACCACCAGAAATTTATAAGTTTTCCGAGGGACAAACAATCATGCGAGAATACTTCTCAGCAAAAGAAATCATATTCCTGAATACGAATACACAAGAGATGGGGGATTAAGTGCCTGAGAGTACTAAACCAGTGAATAAAAGAATCCAGGGTGATCTAAGTGGTGGCGGCCATACGAATGGACATTTGAAGTATCGTCCGCACAAGTCGTGAAGGCAATCGAGAGTCGTACCTGAATAAAAAGGGAAGTGAACTGTTTTGAACAACATAGAAAAACCAATCTATGAACTTTCTAGGAATCATGCAAGCTCTGAAATTCTCATTCGTGAGCCACTTAATCTCCTTCTGCGCAAACAACTTCTCTAAATCATGATGTAAACCTACCTAAGTCATGTTCGGTATTGTCGAACATTAGCCCAAATTGTGACTTCTCAACATTCTCACACATTAGTTACGTCCATGTTGAAAACAGCTTTGGGATTATGGAGAGCAAGTACAGCCCGAAGTACAGCCACTGCTGCATCTGTAGCTTCCCCGTTTCAGAACCACCCTCGCCGTAAATCCGGATGCGCAGCTTGTCGCGCTGCTCTATCGTTGCGATTATCCACTGGAGAGCTTGATGGTGTCCTCAAGTAGGCTAACGCGTCCAAAAAACAACCGGCCGTGACCTCGATATTTTACCAATCAGAATAACATTTCCGGTTTGGCATTTGAGCAACCAAGTTGACCGGTCTTCCTCCGGATTGGATTCTGAGAGACTCTCAGGCGTTTGGTGGAACGATCGTAATCGGTCATAGATTCTAGGTCAGTGAACTTCTTGATTGTATGAGAGATGGCGTCCTGGGTGATTTAAACTCCAAATTTACTCGTAGCTCAAATCTCCAGACGCTTTGGCTCCTTTTCATATTCTTGGTCTTGTGCTTGCAAACCTCCAGCCTTTGTGCATCGGTGACAGAACTTGGGACGTAGTGATATCGGAGTAAAAGGAATGATCATTCACACAGGCGCTAATTCATGAACACTTCTCTGCAGCACCGACGATGTAGTAATGCTGAGACGATGTTTAAGAAATCTTGATATCACACTCAAAAACGTCGATTGTTAAACGTGTAGTTTAATTATGAGCACGATCCTTGCAGGCACCTTCTTCTCCATGTTCGCTGACAAAATAAACTCATCCGTCTCAGTATACCAAAGTCCGTTCGACATGGGTTACACATTCATCTTTTACGCCTAGAACGTGTAACTGGTCTCGTTAAGCGATTCCAAGGTGAACACGGAGTTGACGCTTCGACCCGTAACCTGTTAAGAGGTAGCGTAGAAGGCGAAGATCGTACTTGTGGCTGAAGCTGTAAAAGTATAAGTAAATGTTGTCACGTGTCTAAGCTTTCTAGCCACTTCTTACGCTTTTCGTGTGTAGTGAACCATTCACTATCCATCAGCTCAATCATTACTATTACTAATCTTTTCCTCTCCGATGTGGCGTCTTCTCTCTTTATCTGTGATGGGCTACCACCATGAAACTTGGGGAACGTCAATTCCTGGCAGGACAGTGCCGGTGAACCTAACATACCAGGACCCGAAGGTGTAAGTTTATCATTTTCTCTCTCTAACTCTCGAACCAGCGATCACTGATTTGATCATGCCACACCAATCCACTCGCACTACGATCGTACTTCGATATCGAATAAAATTAAGCCGGACTACAACGTAGCACAGACGCACACTTTTGTACAGCCGCGTCACCTCCAACCAACTAAACGCAGCAACACTTTTTCTAGCTTTCCAATTGTTTCTAAAAACTTGAACGGTGTGAAATGTATGGAGGCGGATGATAAACATGTCAAATTTGCGTGAGGGTCATGCCCACACCACTGACTTACACACCAGCCCTAAAATTACCAATTTCCGACGAAGATATCGATTAATTATGGGAGTTGTTTGCCCAAAACCAAGATTGGTCACTACATTCCAATAGAAACGGAACTGGTGGATCAACACCTTATCATGTATATAGCATTATATCATGTATCCCAGGGATTACATTATCCAGGTTAACCTTTGTACGATATCAAACAATTAAAAATGTATACAGATGCCTTGAAATCTCGCGAATACCGCTGAGCATAGTAATCTGAGTGCAATGATATATCTAGCACAAGACAATGAAGAATTCGATAAAATACAGTAGGCTTTTATGAGGTGTACGAATGTCCTTTTAAAATATAAATGGGCTAAATCAAAGTTCTTCATCTATTGTGCGTGTACATTAACGGCTGGACTCGTCGCTTAGTTAAATGGCTCGAGTAAAAAATAAATAAAATCTGTCCGACAAATACTCTTCTTGGAACAGATTAAACTATTTATTTCTGATAAAACATTTCGTTTAAAGCGATTTTTTATCTTCATATAATGAGCTCTCACGTTACATGAGGTCTCGTTTTTAAATATTGGATCAATTCACTAGATCGGTGTCTTGCACCGATCGCATCCCCTCATGTATAATATTCTTGTCAGAGACAAATGTACTCGCAATAGTAACTTCGCCAAAGGTTAAATCTACATCATCATTTTCTTGTCCAACTCACTTTTGGTCACCAACAAACCACATTTTTAGCTATAGACTTTAGTATATTATCTAATGCATCATCAGCATAGTGCAGATTCTGTGCCTATACCACCTCATGTACATTTTGAATCTGCTGAACCGCTTGTAGAAGCTCGCTCCTTCTTGATGTCAACTGCAACGGGGTGCCTCTGTTACATGATAATTTACATAAGGTAATTCCTTAAGTATAAATGTTATGTTAGGACAAACACAAAATTCTCACAATATTATCCTAATAGATAACGTTGCTTCGCAGATGTAGTTATCCAAAGGGTAGTTTATTGCTTCGAAGATGTAATAAACTGCCCTTTGGTTAATGTAGGGGGAGTTCACCGACCACATCAATTATCACAGATAAATTTGGGATTGTATATCACAAATACAAGGTAGATCCATTCAGGGCGATAACGGTCGCGTGACCCCGTTACAAACGCGCTGGAGCAGCGATCTGAAGCAGGGAAAGTTGTCGAGCGCAACGAAAAAACGAATCGTTACCGGTCGTGCCTCCCGAAGATCAATGTCTTCATCACGACGCAGCATCGCAACGGTATCGGCGGACCAGAACAAGAGCATGCTGAGCGACGTCAACATTCGATCGCGAGCGACAACAGAGAGGCCACGACGAGCTCGTGCGCATCATCTAAACAATCTTAGCAAGCAGATGAGGCAACGTCAGCGGAAGCTGAGGAAAGCAGCTCGTCCGTATGGTCAAAGGAATAGAAGTAGCCATGGCAACGACAGTGTAACGGGGTTACACGCGGTTATTTGAACCGGTTATGTGGTGTGTCCACACCAAGTCAAGACTGGTGGATTTGAGTGGTACAGTCTTGGTACCACGTACTTACGGTAATACCGCACCTTATCGGGTAAGGATAAGGGATAAGACTTCTGTCATCGGATCGCAATGTAGAAGTCAGTCGCACAAGATTTTAGGGTTTAATTACCGTAGTTAAACAATAAATAAA